AGAGAGAGAGAGAGAGAGAGAGACGGGGGGGGGGGAGAGAAAATGAGAATATCACCATTCATTTCTCCAGAGATAACGAGCTGAATCGATTACTGAGTTAAATGATTTATTTCAAGACAAAAAGGAAGGGTGAGAACCCATATATGAACTGATGGCTCTTCCTCTTCCTCTAGGTTACACCATGACTGTTTTCTTCCATTCTTTCAGTCTCAGGCCTGGAATGAGAACGTTCTATAACTGTATCTGAGATATTTTACTTACAAACCTAAGAAATAGAATATTCACTTTTTATCTCGAAATCTCCTTTTCTTCCTAAAAGTTCACCCACAAATTCCCAGCACACTGATGAAAACAGAATTCTTCCAGTAACTACGTTTTTTGAAGTAACCAAATGTTCTCATAAATTTAGAGTTATTTGCCTAATCATTTTTATTAACACCATTTCAAATCTTTATGGGGCAATACTATAAGAAGAATGGGATACTACCACCAGAAGCAAAGTGGTTCCAGGTAGGAAGGAATTCATTATTTGATAAAAATAAAATGCTTTTTAAATAAAAAAATAATCACAATAGGGGGTGAAGTCTTGAATTATTAAAGTATTAAACTGATATTCATCAGATGCTACTGCTTACGATCATGAGTATTAATTCCACACCTTTGAACCCCAAAATACATAGCCTCAGGTCCTTTCCTTTCCTGTTTTCTAATCTGTCACTTACTAATGTTACTTACTAATCCTGACTGGCAGTAAAGGTGGGTTTTTTTTTCCCTGTCTGTGGTACTTACTTGCTTACTAAGATGCCAGCTACCACCTGAGAGCTCTTAGGTGGCCCCTGACACACAATCTCAGCTCCTCACAGACGTCTTGTGGGAAGTCAGCCAGGTTTCAGGGAGATGAATATCTGTCTGTTTCCTTCTGACTCACTGAAATGTGAGTAAGTGTTTGGAACAGACCCTTGTTTGGGAGGCAGGATGGTTCCTTTAATGTTCTTTGTCTCTGGGTGCTGGAAACCCAAATGAACCCTTCTTTGTTTTTGATCTCAGAACGGGACATATTCACATTATACTGCCATGAGATACAAAATAGATCTAGAGCTATATTTTTCCAGAGCAAGAATAAATCTTAGAAAATAAAGGGACAAATTCCTGCCTCCTATGAATTTAAAAAGGAGATAGGGTCCCTCAGACAACACAGTTTGTGAACCCCTGCTTCACACACCTTGGATCTAACCTGCCTAGGTATAGTTGAGTTTTACACCACATTCTGTACAAGAAGTAAGGAAGGCTAAAGGAGGTATTATGGTTTGGTGTGAGGTATTCCTGGAAAGTTCTTGTGTTAATGAAGAAATATTCAGAGATGCAATGACTAGATTATGGGAGCTATAACCCATCCGGTCCATCCTAGTTTGAATGGACTGAGTGTTAACTATAGGCAGGTGGCTGGGGGAGGTGGGTCCCTAGGTGAGTGCCCTGGAAGGGTCATCTTTCATGTATCTCTTTCCCCCACTCCTGCTTCCTGTGGCCAATAGTGGAGCAGTGCTTCTCCACCACACCTTTGTGCCATGATGTTCTGCCTCTTCTTGGATCCAGAGCAATGGAGTCAGCCTACCATGGATTGAAACTCTGATACTATGAACCAAAATTAACTTTGCCTTCTCTAAGTTTTTTTTTTTTCTTTGTCAGATATTTTGGTCATAGTGATGCATTAGACACTTCAAACAATTAAAGAATAGTTGCTTCTGTGAATTATTTCTATTGATGTTTATCCTCTGAGATATTAAAACAGATAATTTTCAGGTATTTATATATTAATTGATTTTTAAAATAGCAATGAGCCCATTATATGTTAACATAAATATCATAGTTTTATAAAAACTGTATTTCCTAAAATAAAATAATACATGAAAAGAGTGCATTGTTCTACATTTTTGTCAACCTTTCTAATATATGTCTTAAAAATAGACATATTGATTTTCATATATGTTTTGGCATTCACTATGTTGTGATATGTAGTTTGGATCAAATCATACAGATTAATATAGAATCAGAAAGATGTATATTTGGAAAAACAGTGGACAATATAGATGAATCTCTAATATTACACCAAAGCTCAACAAATATTTGCTGCCAAAATACTAGTTTCAATGTGGGATAAGAAACCATATCAATAACCATATCAATAACTTTTTCTACCTTGTGGCATTAAAAGTTATTAGCCTACTGACCACCCCCACTTTTGTCTGAGTGACTAGCACAAAAAGTATGATTTCCAGTACCCCTCATTGTGCTTACATCCTCAGGGCAAATGTCTGCTTAGTGAAAAAGGCAAATAATGTGTCAATATTGTTATGAAAATAATTTTGACATCATTGAGCACTTGAAAGGGTCTTGAGAGACCAGAGACCATATTCTGAAAGCACACAGGCATGGAGCAAGGGCCTTCAGTCTGTTCCTTCTCTTAGCTCTTAGGAATTTTGTTAGGTCAGTTTTTCCCAGCATTCCTTTCTGTTCTCTTTTATTTTCATGTCCTGCTGGTCTTTGCTTATTTTATTCCCATGTGACAATCACTAAACAAGAAACTTCTTCTTTCCTCACAGGGCCATCAGCAGGCCAGCTGCCACCACACATATTATCCTTGGTCTCTGCCATGGCTCTCTGTGGCACCCTCCTTTCCCTGGTCTTTTTCCATACTTCAGAATGACCATTCTACATAATCTTTCTACGGTTATTCCCTTCCCATCTCCAGTCTTCCTTTTGCACCTCTTATCACAATTTTCTTTCTAAAATGCAGGATTGATCTGCTGGAAATCTTTGGCTGTCTCTAGGATCAATTCAAGCATCTTAGCACTTAAGATCCCAGTGGAGCCCTAATCTATGTCTGCAGTCTCTGTCAATGCATTCCTCTGGCATACTAGGTGTAGGCTTGTTTTAGTCAGCTTTTTCACTGCTTTCATTGAAAGACCCGACTTGAACAACTGTACAGGAGAAATGGCTTATTTGAATGCTCACAGTTTCAGAATTCTCAATCCATAGAAGGTCAGCTCCATTCCTTGGGGTTTGAGATGAGGCACGACCTCATGGTAAAAGAATGTGTCAGAGGAAAGCAGATGATCAGGAAGCAGAGAGAGAGGTCTCCGTGTGTCAGATGCAAATATATAGCCCATAGCCAACACCACGCCAAATTTCCACCTCCTCCAGGCTATACCCTACCACTTCTGGGATTAACTGAGTGGTAACTGAGTGGTAACTGATTGTGTTAAGACTCCCACAACCCAATCACTTCTCCTCTGAACTTTCTTGTACTGTCTCACACGTGAGCTTTATGGGGCCACCAAACCATAACAAGCCCAATTCACCTATTCACTGGCCACTTTCCCATTTTTCCTTGCTAATTCCTTAACAGTCCCCCCCACCAAATTACAGTGGCTTCTTCTTGTACTTCATTCCTTCAAATTCTACTTCAGGGCTCTCGTTAAATTGTGTATTATTTGCCCACCTCTTGGTTCCCCTAACTTTTGTTCCCCAAAATAATCTTTTTTTAATGTATTATGGTATGATGAATTTAGTTATATAGGTATAATCCATCTTCTCATTTAAACACTAAATCTCTGAAACCTGATTTGAATCACAAGTCTAGTCTATACTTGGTCAATAATAAATTCCTATTAAATAGTTATTACTATGAAAGGAATTTCCTAACAGTTTCACATTTTTCTCCTTAGAACTAAAAAAGGATAGTGAATGTGAAATTCTATGTAAGTCCTGGAAAACTAGAAATGAAGTAACCAGTGACTCCTGAAACATTTTTGAATAAATTTAAGACATGACTGAGGAAAGCTCAGAATCCACTAAGCTCCACTCACCCACAGGTCTTCAGGTACTGGCTGAGTCATAAAATATTCCAAAATAAAAGAGAGCTTCCATTTATAACAAACAAAGGAAAAACAAAAATATAATTCTATGTCCCCCATCTACAAATTTCATTCATGCTTCTATTCTAGCTCCCCCTGGGGTTGACTGTTCTTATCTCTTAAATGTATGGCAGATGTGTCAAGAAATCTGCCAGGTCTACCCATGGTGCTTTCTCAGAGTCCCCCGCAACCTGTCTCTGGTAGTTGTTGAGTCATATAACCTCACCTCCCACTGACTGGGGGAGTCACCCGATCCAGACTGAATCTATCAGGTTCTTTCTTCCAAGAAATTGTATTCAGGATATAGAAATGCTAGAGTCTTTGCTGGCCACATGGGCTAAGAATTTGTGTTCTTCTGGGGCAATCAGTT